GGTTCTGAAGCTGGTGATGGAACGTTGGTGGGTGGAGGACCGGCGGGTGGATGGGAAGGTGGAGCTGTGGGACCGGGTGCGGGGGTTGGAGGAAGGTAGAACTGGAATGGAGAAAAGAAAGGATTGAATGGAGAGTGAAAGAGAGCCTGTTGTTGCAGGTGATGGGCTGCGTGTTGATGTTGTTGAAATTGAAGCCGGAGTTGACGAAGTTCCTCAGCCTCGGAGGCAGGGAGGGCCGTAGGTGGTGTGGCCGGAGGAGGTTGAAATGCCTGTGGTGGAGTGGTAGGTCGTGGAATGGAGGCGGAATCGGGAGGTGTGGGTTGTGGATGTGGTTGATCGCCAGGTCCAGGTAGTAGTATTAAAGGGGGAGCCCCCGAAGATGCCCGGTCAGAAGGAGGATGAACGGAGGTTGGAGGCGACACGGGTGCGTCGTGCAAAGGGGCACGAGGTGCGGAATGAGGTGTTGGGCCCGTACTCTGCCGCGGTGGTGGCTGGAATGGCAAGATCTGGAACGTGTTGTGGGAAGGTTGGAGGTGCGACGACGCTCTTGGGGCTCCCGTTGGTGTGTGCGAGAGCGGTGTCGCCGAGAATGGGATCGACGACGGTGACGGTCGTCGCGGCGGGAGCGTGATGCTGCAGGTGAGCGATGTCGACGCCCACGGTGTCGGCGAGAGTGGCTCCTGGGAGAACGTCGTCGATCGTGGTGTCGTGCAAGTGGCGAACGTGTCGTTCGTGATGTGCGATGGCCACGGTGAGAAGATTGTCTGGGATGTGGTCGTCGTGGTGCGTATGGATTGAGGGGCGGTGGGCCCGTGGCACGTGGGTGAGAAAGTGGAGGTCGTGGACGTGGTGCTTGGACGCGTGGAGGTGGGAAGAATGGAGCAGTAAGATGTGTAGGTGGAGTGGGTGGAAAGGTAGGAGTGGAGGAAGCCTGGGGAGGAGGAGGGTGTGAGGGTGGAGCGGAAGCGGTGAGGTTGTGGTGAGTAGATTCGCCCGTGGCGGGATCAGAATGTGGTGGTGGATCTGGAGTGCCGCGTGCAATTTCCGTGCCAGGTGCCAGGGGAGTGACATCGTCAACGTCATAATCAGCTTCTTCAGGTTGAGCAGGAGGTCTGGTATCCCTGGAGCGAGAGCTGCGGCAAAGATCACGTCGTGAATGAGGACGAGTAGATTCCAGGGAAGAACTCGCCATGATGTCAAAAACGCCCGGAGATAAAGGAGGAACACCCTGAAATCGGAGTGAAAATGAAAATCAACGTGTAAAGATGCCAATCAACGTGAAGAGAGGTCATTCAAAGTGTAAAGATGCTTGTCCCATGGTCTAGAGCCCGACGAAAGGAAGAGGGAAATACAATGTGAAACTGAAAGAACAGGACAAAGGTGGAAAGTGTAAAGAGAATGATTCGTAGTGCAATACGGTCTTTTTATGCTGTCTGGCAAGGTGTGAGGTGAAACTGAGAGGCTAAGATCTGGTCGTTCGAGGGCGAGAGCGAGATCTCGAGCGTATGTGAAGACGAGGTCGTGGTACATGGCGAGAGGGCGGAGGACTAGGAGAGATAGGCATCCGGACAGTGGTGTTGTGAGTCCTGGTAGTCCTCGATGACGTAGTAGGTGGAGGTGAAACAGATATAGTGCGGAGAGGGGTGCCCGATCGCCAAAATCGGTGCGGCCTTCAAATTCGTCTTCAAGTTGTTCCGGGCTCTGTTGAATAATATGAAGGAGGCCCAGGGCGGTAAGGAGCTCATGGGTGTAGTGTACAGCGGTGTGGTTGAGACGAAGAGCGAGGAGGAGCGTATTGTCCAAGCCTTCAAGGTGAGCTCGTAGTTGTGGGTGGGTCACCCGAGACATGAATGGAATAGTGCGAATGCTGAGTGGGATGTGGAGTAATGCATGGACCTGGGCCAGAAGGACATGTACAAGTAGAAGTTCACGATGTAGCATAGCCTGAGCACGAGGGGGAAGACCTGAAATCGGTGCAAAACCACAAATTGGTGTAGATGTCGATGTCGAAGTCATGGCGGGAAAGGCAGTAGGAAACACGGGAGCGAAACTAGTGAGCCGAAGGTACAATAGGAACGAGAAATAAAGACAGTCAATGAGATACCAGAAGGAGACAGTGAAGATAGGTGATCAATCATGAAGTAAATTAATGGAGAAGGAATATTTTCCTCAGCAAAAACTAAGTGGTTCGGTTGGTGAGAAACCGGCTAAAATCTGAATCTCCGCGGAGGGGATCGTGACCGAGAGGGCGAAGGAGAACTTGGCATCCTCGTCAAGGTTGAAGGCGGAGCCGAAGGAGTCAGAGAAGGAGGAGGGGCTTGGGGCGGAGAGGGATCCGAGGTCGTAGTCATCGTCGTCGTCACAGTTGGAGAAGGAGGAGAGGGAAAGAGGATAAGCGAGTGTCTGGAGGAAGAAAAGGATGGAGGAGAGGAAACTGATTGGCCAACAGGATGTGGAAATGCCAAAGTGGAGCATAGTGCATCTGCGTAGACCAATGTAGTACAGGTAGCTCGTCGAATCTGTTCTAGGCTAGTCTCCAGTGCACGAAGGGTAGCGCTGAGACGAGGGCAGGTGATCGAGTCCACAATGGAAGGAGTGACAGAATCAAGAGGTCCACGTAGGATCAGAAGAATCAACTGTAAAGAAGAATGTATGTGGAGGAGTTCACGATGAAGTACCTCATGAGCAGCAGCAGGTAAGCCAGCGATGGAGGCCAATCCCATAGGTCTGGTTGGTGGCGTCGTGGATGACATCGACATGGCGGCGAAAAGGAGCGAGGAAGGCGAGCTCGAAGGGCGAGGTATAGGGCGTGAGAGGAAGCTGAGAGCCACACGAAATATTTTCTCTCGAGAGTGGAAGAGTAAGCGAAAACATCTAGAGATTTCTGGAGTTTGATCGAGGGTGAGACCGAGAGCCGAGAGCGAGACGGTGCTGTACTGGATCGATTAATCACAGGTCGAGGCGGAGTACGAATGGCAGGGGTCCTCGGTGGTGGAATCGGTGATGCCGCCGGAATGGAACTGGTAGATGTCATACTTAGACGTAGTCGGGCCCAAAGTAGAAGCAGGAAAAGATGGAAGGCGGGGGTCAGGGAAGGTCGAGCATCCACGTAGTTCAGCATCCACTTGAGTAGTGTCGCAGTACAAGGCATGCATCATCCCAAAGGTGGTGAGGAGTTCCTGGATATAGTGCACACCATTGTGGATAGCTTGGGTCGCCTGTCGAATCGCAGAGTCCAGACCTCGAATTTGTAGCTGAATATGTGGCGAGGTGATGTGGTCCATAAAAGAAGGGCTGAGAAAAGCGAAGCGAGTGCGTAGGAGGGAGATAGCGAGAATCAATAAACCCGGAGAAGGGAACATGGCGAGAGGAGGAGGATCAACTGAAAAACTAAGGCTCCAACAGGTTCCAATGAACCTAAAACTGGCTTTGACCGCTCTGGTCACCTTGTGCCTTGCCGAAATGGCTGGCTGCTTTGACCGCTGCGGTCACGTAAAGGCATGAGCCAACTTGGTATTCCAAAGATGAGACAAAGGTCATCGGACGTACGGCCTAGGCCACCTTCGCCCGCTCTGGGCATCTACATCTCCGGGCAGGGGAGAGAACAACGTACACCCGTTCAACGGGTCCACGGGAGGCACTCTGCGGGCTCATCCCGGGTTGGCACGAGGCCAAACACACTTGAGATATTGTGTACTGAACTGAATGCGGTGCCACACGCCGGCCTAGGGTTCCATTTCCTAAGAGTACCCAGTAGGAAGCCATCGAATCCTGGGGGTCTTCAAAAGGAAAGGTGGCCCAAAGCGCAAGATCGAGGTCGACGAGCAGGTCGAAGTGACGACGTGTCGTGCGTGTCTGCAGTTTGAGGTTCTGGGCTTAGCCTCATGCCATCCGGAAAAGGAAAAATGCAGGTACGTCGGTGAGCGTCCCCACCGATATCAGTGTTCAATGCAAGCCTCTTCGTTGGGCTGGTACTTGCATGAACAACCAGCCCCCCTGCGAGAAACCAAATTAAAATCCAAAAGGATCCCTATGACTCCAAGGGTTACACACACACATAGAGACCCACGCACTGCCTCAACTTACTCGGAGACACACACACACAGACAGAGACTCATACACACACACAGACACAGATACACACACACAGAGACCCACACACTGCCTCAACTCACTCGACTTAACACTTCACACTGATCACTTCACAGATAACTCACACTCTGACTTCCTACGTGATGGAAAAATGCTTTCGGGCCACTTGTCGTCTAGTTTGTGGGTTCCTTTCGTTTCTGTCCATCAGCACTCTCCCATGGTTGCCTCCTCAGCTCATTGCCAGGAAACGGGAGGCTTTGCGGGACGCTTGGTTTCTCTTCGACGGGGCCCGCCTTGGCAGATTTGGGAAACATGACATAAATGATGTTACCCGCAGAATCCCACCAGAAATATATTGAGAAACTGAGAAGCATCTCTCAAATATGCCGCTTTCAAGACAGAAGACTATGGAACACTTAGAAAGTCGAAGGCAAGTCACTAATTAAGGATTTTCTGGTGGCGGATCGATAGTCGTTTAACCATGTTCATATAGCCGGCCATGTTCATGATCAATCACGTATCCATGCACCGTGGTTGCATGCTCAGATTGTAAAGCACACAATGATACCCAACCACCCGCTAAAGCCAGAAAGGCCAAACCGTTCTTGGCGATGATCCTATGAGACAAAAGAACAACACTATGTTTATACATACCTTGTCCACTAAGATCCAGTGAGCCAGGTCTTGGTCTTCTTGATATGGTCGGAGACGTGGCTCCTGTCCATTTGTCTAGCCCTTTTCGCACCCGATGCCAGCTCCTCGGGCAGCTTGGCTGTGTTATACGTGGACGGCCTGTAACCTAATTGGTTGGCGGAGGCTCACGTTGTTCCAGGTTCAGAAGTCAGCCCAAAATTCGGAACATGACGTGACTGTGATATGCTGTGATGGAAGATTCACTTGCTGCATGAATGGTCTTGACCCAGACCCATGGCATGAGCTGCGGAAAATTTATTTTTGGCTTCCTCCAAGGCTTTCGGCTGATGCGATTGTTGCGCTTCACACGCCTGGCTCGTATGGCGCGCTTGCTGCGCAGCATCCCAGAGTTGTTGATTATCGTGAGGGCCATTGCCATCGCCCTTCGCTCAGTTCCCTGGCATGTGATAGAACATCAGAACACCCCAGCGCCAAACTCCGCCATTCGATTGGTTGACCTCCTTCTGGGACAATTCCACATTTTGCGCTCACCGTCCTCCGCTTAATCTCTTCGAGCAAGTTGAGACAGACACAGAGAGAGAGAGAGAGACAGAGAGGGATCGATGCTTGCTTTGGATTGTGTCTTTTTAGACGTGACTCCTTTCTAGGCTTGAAGCATTGCGATTTTTTCCAATCAGAAAGCTTGCTCAGACAGTTGAGCACTGAAGAAGCCTTTTTTGCTGCTATACTCGCATTGGCAGATTGGGAGTGCCCCACCAAGACAAACACCAAACAAGGCCCCAAATCAACCCCCACAAGCGCAGCGGAGCCTGTAAAGTGAGTGAGTGTTCATCATTGTTCCTAAAAATCTACAGTGCGAGCGATTCTTCAAGGAAGCAACCCCCCGCCGCCTTTAGGGCGAATAGGTCTTGTTGATCTCCGAATAGGTCTTTTTCTTGATGGTTCTGCTGGTGGGCCTCGTCTACGTCTTTGCTCTGCTCTTCATGGAGCTTTTGGATGGGAAGAACCAAGCTCCAGGCGGCGCCTGCTCAGCCCCAACCATGAACAGCCCCTACGCCAGTTTGTGGCTATAAAATGCTATAAATGGTTCACCAGAACGGCGGACCGCCTTCGGCGGTGACATGCGGGGGAAAAAGAAACCAACAAACATTGACATATGACCATCAGGTGTATTTGCTTGGGTCACGTAGTTGTACCTTAGCCAGGTGAATCCTGCATCCACATGGGGGGTGGGTTTAAGGTTTAGGCCTAGGTCCGAGGTCTTTGGGTTGAAGCTTTTGGGGAAAAGTTGAAGAAGGATGCGCAAACACACAGGCAGGCAGGTTGTACTGTAGTTCTATTCTATGCGCATATTTCAATGACGCACAACGGCGGGCATGCACATGTTCTATAAGCTAGAAGGATGACTGAATGCTGGAGGACACTGCAAACTCATGCTACTTGGAAGCGATGCTGGCAGGTTCTTTGGCATATGACAGCTTTCGTTCTTTGCCGCAGTCTATGAATACCTTGCTACTGGCGGGAGCCTTGCCCGATCAGTCCAGTCTGGTTGAGGATGCTGGAGCTACACACTTCTTGCTCTATCCCTTGATGCTCCTTTACATGCTACTGGCATCCCTCACAGTGATGAATATGCTGGTGGCTGGGTCTTGGAAGCTGAACAGTGGTTTGGTTCTTAGAAAAGCCACAGAAGCTGATCATTGTCTCAGCGAACCAAAGAAGTTTTTCTGGCTGAATCGTTGTGGCCTTGTTTGGGAGGAAGGCTCCAGCAAAGAAAGGTGCAAACATGCGCTCACAAAGTTACGTGCTAAAAGACTTGAGTCTGTTTTAGGGGCCATTGATCCTCTCCGGTCGCTGTGATGGGTTGGTCTAGGGCAGGAGGTTCATTGAGCTGAGGCTGTTGTTTTGGTTTATTTGCATTTCTGTGCCTGACATGTTTCTTTTCACCATTTCTCCACGCGAATAGAGTCACAATGCATCTTGAACCTTCTATGGATAACCCAATTGAGGAGATTGGTTCAAGGATGGCAGGCCCACATGGTTGAAGAAGTAAGGCCGCCTTATCGAGAAATTGGAAACATTGGCGCAGATTAGATTTGGTATGTTTCCTCGCCCGATAAATTTACACTACACCCTTGGCGATTGGAACAGTGCTTTGCGATACTGATTCCCTCGAGTACGCTGTAAAAGTTCTTGATCCTCCTGGATCAGCTTCAGGTGGGCATTCTTTGTGAGGTCGTCACAGTGGTTTCAGCAGTTGAGAAAGAGGAGATTTTGTTGAAATCGGTGCCTCCACAGCAGTCAAGACTGAACAGGTGTTGCACGTCTAGGTCCATGTGTAGATTCACAACGTACTCGAACTAATTATACATATTTCTTGCTCTCACAAGGCCTCGTGGGGTGGATTCATTTGATTCCATCCCAGAATTGAGATTTGTGATTTGAGATAGGCTGCCCGAGTGGTATATATGGAATTGTATATATTACTATATATATGGTTGTCGATCTAAAGGTCCTAATAGGTTGCGTTGTTGACGATGACCCTGGAACATGTCAAAACCTCATTTGGCGAAAGTTGTTTCTTGAGTTCGCGAAAGTATTTTTTTTGGGGCGAAAGATATGGCTAAAGATGTTCTTTCTGCTGCCGTTGCTGCTGCTGCTGCTCCTACTACTACTACTACTCCTACTCCTACTCCTACTCCTACTCCTACTCCTGCTACTACTGCTGCTACTACTGCTGCTACTACTGCTGCTACTACTACTACCACTCCTGCTGCTGCTGCTACTACCACTACTACTACTACAACAACAACAACTACTACTACTACCACCGCTGCCGCTACCGCTACCGCTACCGCTGCTGCTGCTACTGCTACTGCTACTCCTGCTTTGGGCGGTGGCTCTGCCACAAAACTCTACCCCGCAAAAGGCGAAAGTTTGGCGAAAGTTCAGCTCAAGATTGGCGAAAGCTCACCCTGCCACATCTGACCCCCAGCCAATTATGAGTAAGTCTGAGCGACCGGCTGCAACAGTGATTCTTGCAACTTTTGATTCTTGCAGACACCCAGGAGAAACAAAAGAGACGTACAGGGCGTCAACAGTTAAGTAGAAAACACATGCGGACAAACAGTGAAGTTTTTACTTCGTATCTGCCAGTAAAGAGCTTCTTGGTGTAGGCAGAAAGGACGCCGGGGGGTTGCGTGTATCATCATCTCCATTCTCCCACATGAGAGGCTGAATGGCATATCTCCGCTCCCTTAAATATACATATATGTGTATATATGGGTGTTGATCTAAATTCCTTTATCTGGGATCCGTCTTTCTTAGCCAAAAAAAATACTTTAGCCAAACTTGTGCCTTCCTGCGTTTCATCTTTCGCCGAAGTATGTTGTATTTATGTTTGCCATGTGTGTTGTATGATGGATATCAATTTTTCATGTCATTGAAGTAACACCAACGCACGCCCAATTGTTGTTAGAAGTTCCTGACACCCCTGACTGACCATCCAGTAAGTGCATGCTCTACATTGGTCAGAACCCAGTTACATGAGGTGAAGTCGTTGCTCAAGCAGCTCCTACTGGATGCGCAAGCGGACGAAGTCTCTTGGAGAGTCCAAATGGAACAGAAGAGGGATGATGGGATGCTGTTTCGATAGCTGGAAGTCAATCTCTTGAATTGGACTCTGGATTTGACAGCCTGACAAAGAAAGGGAACCTGATAAGAGTGTCTTGATATGTATAACAAAGTATAACAAATAAATAACAATATCGTGGTAGTTGGGACTCCGTTTAAGTTCACCCAATCCAAAGATGCAACTCTGATTCGGCAAGCTATGTGTGAGCTCTCAAATTTATTTGTTATGGACGAAGTTTGAATACCTCCAATTCAATGACTCCCGGTTTCTAACACACTCCTTTTCAGCCAAGCTAGATTCTGTAGGACGGCGATGGCAGCATCTCTCGAAGAGAATTTGACAAGATGCTCACGAACCCCACCTGCGTGAGAACCTTGAGCGAAGTGGGTGTCGATGTTTTTGCCCTGGTGGACTTGGCGGATTTCATCTTCGGGCAGAAGGAGAGCCTCTCATTCGCCTCCTTTATGGATGCATCTGGGTGGCAGCTTCCTGTGTGGTTCGAGCGATGTCATTTCATCAAACCTGCATAAACCTGCCCCTTGATGTCCAAAGAGATTAACTTTACCCAATCTAATGATTGTGAAGCGAGCAAAGTCATCCTGCTCCCTTTGTGTTACTTGTAAAAGGTGTGGCAATGCAAAGGACAGGTGACGGCAGCGCAAACAAAACAAGTTCCCCTCCCCAGCAGATGGACCAGTGCTGGAGTGCTCTCAACTGGTTGAAGCGAGCTTTCAGAGTACCCAGAAAATCTGACAGAGTGTCACTTTGAGCTAATGTCCAACTATGAGCTCATAAAGCCTTCAACCATTCACGGCTTAGGGCAGCTTGGTGCCTCTCCTAGGCCGTTTTACAACTCCGAGGGAGCAACACCGCCACAGTCAAGGAGCAGTTTTGTGAGAACAGGGTGACCTGAAAGACTTTGGTAGGCTCTGAAAGGAGAATCTGAGATCAAAATTGCCCAAGGAGTCTCTTTTGAGAGGGTGTTCATGGAGAGGGATCAATCTTCTCTTTGCTACAAGTATGGTCCCAAACCCGTCAAGTTTTCTCCAAGTATTTTTGAAGAGCTTTTGTCCTGTTACAACTGTTTGAAGCTCCAAGAATGAAAGTTCTGATAGTCTACACGGGCCACGTGGGTTTCTTCCCACGGCATTGCGTTACTCCTCGCTGTCATCGCGGCTGTGGGTGGATGGAGTCGGAAGGGTCGCGCGTAGGCGGCACAGTTTAGAATGTTTTTGGATCCGTAATTCCATAATAAGACTGAGTTGTAGACTTATATTATCAGTTCTTTGGCTATGGCAAGAGTGTTGTATCACAGGTAGTAGGCAGTGCTGGACTCATAACAGGACATTGTGGACCTGCAGAAGCTCATTGTCAATCACTTCAAGTCCACTTGACTCCGTTAATTTCTTCCAAAGCTTTTTCTCTGCGCTTTTGGTTTTTTGTGAGCAGTTGCAGATGTTGCTGGGAAGGGCCCAGCCCATATTTTCTGTGCGAGAAACAACAGTATCCACATCTCCAATAAGCATACGTAAGCGTGTGTTTTGTAGTCCCGGACTGCATTCCATTTCTTTCGCGTTCATCCAGGTCTTTGGAGACCCGGTTTACAACGTGTCCGGATGAGCAGACTTTGCCCCCGATGCTGGCTTGAGCAGCGCCACAAGCCCACGAAGTCAGCCCGCAGTGATGGGCAGCATGGGATGTACAACTTGTATCAGGTAAATCAAGTCTAATTAATATAGTTTGCTACTAGGTTGGAGGCCATCGCTATTAGTATGTTCTCCATAGACTTCCGACATACTTCAGTCCATGATTGCGTCTAGAGGCCCCGGCAGAAGTTGTATACGCACCTGATTGAGATGCCATCCGATTTGATAGCTAGACGGTGAAGATGGGCTGGAAAGTGTGCGCTACTTGATAGTTGCTTTGGCACACCCAGACACCTCAGGGCAACAAAACGAAGGCTGGATAGCCTTGTAAAACGTCAGATAAGTAGATGGGCTGGACAGCCCCTGACCCCTCAGGGCAACAAAAGGAAGGCTGGATCGCCTTGTATACACTGACTATGCACTTCAATTATACAAGTAGGTGGGGTGGACAGCCCCAGGCGCCTCAGCGCAACAAACAGAAGGCTGGATTCGGCTGGATAGCCTTGTATACAATGACTGGGCACGTCAAATGTATAGGTAGATGGGCTGGACAGCCCCAGGCGCCTCAGGGCAACAACGAGAAGGCTGGGATAGCCTTGTAAACACGGACTAGGCACTTCAACCAAATAAGTAGATGGGCTGGACAGCCCCAGGCGCCTCAGGGCAACAAAGAGAAGGCTGGGATAGCCTTGTATACAATCTCAGGGCAACAAAGAGAAGGCTGGGATAGCCTTGTATACAGTGACTGTGCACTTCACATGTATAAGTAGATGGGCTGGACAGCCCCAGGCGCGTCAGGGCAACAAAGAGAAGGTTGGATAGCGTTGTATGCACGGACTAGGCACTTCAAATATATAAGTACATGGGCTGGACAGCCGCAGGCGCCTCAGGGCAACAAAAAGAAGGCTGGGATAGCCGTGTATACATTGACTAGGCACTTCAAATATATAACTAGGTGGGCTGGCCAACCCCAGGCGCCTCAGGGCAACAAAAAGAAGGCTGGGATAGCCTTGTA